TGAATATTTGCATATATTGGGATATCTTGCATTTTTGACAAGATTATCTGTAACTGTTTAATTATCCTCCTCCGGTGTCCCGTAGGTGATATTCCAATTTCATGTAGGATGCCGTCATTTATGGTTGCACAGTCCTTCACAGTATTAAAACCAAATTCCCGGAAGTGTAAGAGATACTGCTCCAAATTAATGCTCATTAGGAAATCTCTGATGTCAACATTTACTTCACTGACTGAGGACATAATGGTGGCTTCATTACTAAGCTGAGTACAATGAGATACAGGAGGGTACGCTTCTGTACTGGTTTTTCCCCTCTCACTTGCAACAGGAAAATGTCTCAAAATATTTTCTGTACAGTGAATGCTTTATGTGCTTAAGCCTGGAAAAAAAAAAGAAAATTAATTTATTAGGACATTTTAGTTACTAAAACCTAGTTTTACATTATAAACTTTCTCTGAAGAAACACAATAGAAATGAAGATAATTACTTTCACTCACTAAGAATTTGGAATCTTTGCACATTACTTTGCAAGCTCTAGAAAGTCATTTCCCAGGTAGAGTGTGAAGCTACTGGCCAGAAATGCTACGGTAGTATCAAATGATGATTTTCAGCAAGTTAAAAAATGACTCTCTCACACAAATATAAAATGAACATGTGTCAAAAAGGTTACTCAACTCATTATTGAAGGAACCATTAATATGGTAAGACTAGTTCCAAGAAGAACTAGCTTATACAGGAACTAGCCTGTTTTGTGGAATAGGCTTATACAGTCCATCAGAAAGGCACCTTTTTTTTTTTTGTTCTTTTAGTGTTAGAGTAAGACTGGTAGTCTAGGGGAAAAACAAGCTGGTTAATGTCTTATATGGCAGTAAAACTATAACCTTTAGAGCTGGCTTTCTACTGCAGAAATATCAATAAGCTAATAGATAACTTTCCAGTTCTGGGCTTTAACCAAATAATAAATAGAAAGTGTTAACACAAGAATTAGAATTACATATCCCTAGGATGGGGCTGTGAAACAATACTCCCAACACAGCTTTTCTGAACAGCAACTAGATATGAACAACTGTCCCCTTCATTACACTGTCGTGGAACGCTCTTGAAAAGCACATTTAGAACATGTTTCTCAGATCAATAATTTTCATTTCAAAAAAGCAGGGACATTGGATGTACAACACTGATATACAAGACGGGTTAAATAATTAGTTAATTCTTAAATACATTAAATAACAGGAAATACGTTAATATGAAAGTAAAAGTTTAAAGGTCACATTTTCCTTTACACAGAGCAGATTCACATAGGTTCATTTTTCTCCCAAACAACATCATTAAATTGTTTTAAGAGTCAATTTATCAAGGTGCTGTTTTTATGGCTCTGTTGAATCTGTGAAAATGTGTGATATGTGCAGTTTTCTGTGTATTATGTTTCAATACAAAGAAAAAAGTACACAACATGCTGCACACCTACATACTGAAGTAATAAAATGAGACACACCCAAACAAGTAAATTTATCTGAACAAAATTGATGCAGTATTTCTGGATATCACCTCTCAAAATAGCTCTTCAAAAGGCACTTCTTACAAGCTGCGTGTCTTACACACCAATGACCCAGAAACTACTGCCTCAACTATTTAAAATATCAGCAAATATTGACAAACAGGTGTAGGAGAAGAGGAAAAGCACGTATATTCAGGCAGCACTCCAGGAGCAGAGAAATAAAAATACAGAGAAGAGATGAAAGGCAGGAAACACCTTTGTCAATGAGGTATCCTTCTACCATCCTCAAAATGATGAAATGTCAGGGGGAAAAGTAGAAAGTTAAACCTCAATATCGCATACAAGCCTACGTCTCAGATGTACCACTCTTGTTCTACACAATTATTTTGTATCTGAACACACTATCTAATTTTTTGGCACATCACAAAATGGAAATAAAAATCACCAAATTGGTTGGCACCTTGGACTTTCCGTCCTGAACTGTGAAAAATAAATGCCTGTTTTTTTAAGCCAGGTTGGTCTGTGGTATTTTGTGGCAGCAGCCTGAAATGACTTACACGCTCCTTCGGCCTCACTGCCCCTTGCCCCAGCCAGTTCAGACCTCCGTTATAGCTCTTGCCTGGATTACTGCAACACTCTGAACAAATCCCTCAAGCCAGTCTCCAAGTATCAGTGAATTACTGAAAATCCAAATTTGCCATGTCATGCCTAAGCTCCTTATGGGGCCATAAAGACAGCCTGGTCTTGGTCTAACAATAATAATAGCAGCTACTCCTGATATAAACAGCAATTACGTGCCAGACACCATACCTCATGTATATTTCCTGCAAGGTAAGTAAGTGTTCCTATGTACTAACTCCAAGCTCAAGTTTAACCCCTGCCAAACCTTCTACCAACACCCTTCACTGACTTCAGCTCTTCGTTAATTATCGTTCCCAAGGCAACAAACCATTGAATAGCCCCATACCTTTTGCATATACTGTATCTGCTTGCAAATCTACACATTTTGCAAAGTTCTATGCGCTATTTAAAATTCTGAATAAACAGGTATGACCCCCTCTGTGAAGGCTTTCTTCCTACTGACCTTAAACAGAATCACTCCTTTCTCAATATATAACGAGGATCCTCGAAATTTGCCAAGCGCTTGGGACCATGTTTCTGAGGGAGGAGAGAAGTTGATAGGGATGGTTGAAGTGGTTGAGAAGCCCGTTGTGTTCATTTTTTGGTGTGCACATGTGTTTTAAAACGCAAAGCTCTTTCCTTCCCTTGGAGCGTATACATACACTTCCTGGGTGCTGGCTCAAGAATGGAGACACCAAATGTTCTGCCCAAAACCACTGCAGTCAGTCAACATGCTCAATATGGCCAGCGCACCTGATTCCTTTTCGTGGCCCAGAGGAGGCTCCGTCCTACAGGCCCTACAGTCCTCTCAGTATTTTAATAGCAGCTCCCTCTTCCAATTCCTTGACTTTGTCTTACCACCCAACTGTGTTCACAGATCCACTTCTTGAGAGGCTTCTAGCCACACTCACATCATCACAGGCAAAGAGATGGACATGCCTAATTTTATATATATATATATATATATATATATAAAGTCTACTGTATTCAAACTTCTTCATATGCAATCAAAGTCCTCCCCATTCTGGCCTCCACTTGGGCAAAAGGGCACACATGACGTGCTCTGGCTCAGTGGCTCTCTAGTCCTGGTCTATGGATCTGCTGTACAGGAACAAGTGATGTAATATGTATTTGTAATACACTCCAAAGATACCAACAGAATTTGGTAACTGCAGTTTTAAATTCCTCATGCCTTCTTACCTGGGCCTATGGTTCATCATGTTCCTCCCCGAGGACGGACAGCCCCTCCCACCTAACACGCTGCCCACAAGCCTAGAGTCAGGCTCAAACCCCACCTCCTCCACTTTCTAGCAGTGTAAACTCGTCTGTATGTCTGTTACCTTAACCACACAATGGAAACACTGAACGGTACCTCAGCACTGGTGGTTAAATGCGATAGTCCACTGTAAGTGTTGAAATAGTACTTAGTATATGATAAGTGCTTAGTAAACATTCCCTTCCATCATTATTTCTTTTCATCACTACAGTCGTTATCTTTCCATAGCTAAAATCTTCCCCATTCTTTGAAGTCTAACTTAAACGTATTTCCTTCACAAGGTCTCTACTGAACAAGAAATAAACTTTCTTCTTTATACTCCTATAGCATTTACTTCTTAGAGCATTAAATTATATTCTCTTCATTCAATAGTAACCTACAGAAGTGGGACAGTACAGTGCAAAAGCCAAAATTTGGGAGCTGGACAATCTGAGTCAAATTCCATTTCCTCCACTTATTAGTTTTATGAGCTTGGACAAGTATATAATCTCTCTGTGTCTCAATCTCCTCATCAGGAAAATGGGAGTAATAATAGCACCTCTGAGTTTTGTGAGCCTGGACAAGTATTTAACCACTCAGGGCTTCAGTTTCCTCATCAGCAACATAGGAGTAATAATAGTACTTACTTCATAGGGCTGTTGTAAAGGATTTAGAACACCAGCTACACACAACAAATGTTAAATAACTGTTTGCCATTATAATTATTTTTATTATCCCATAAAAAACTAGTAACTCTGCCAAGATGATGACCAGCCCATATAAACCGTCCAATAAATTCTGATCTGTTTATAAATTATTTGTTCATAGTATATGATGTATATATAGTACATGTTTAGAGAATGTACAAATAGATGGCATGACATATGTGGCTGTGCATTTGCCCATCCTATCCTGACCCATTTGCAAGAGAAAAGAGAAGTAAAAGAGAAGGAACATTTAGGAGCGTCTGCTACATGCCTGGCTTGTGATATCACTTAATAAACATTATCTTATCATCTTACTGAGCACAACCTTGAAAGTACTGGGTTGTCAGAAAAGTCATGACACATTTTTGCAATGAAAAACATAGAAAAAATAGGTCATGACTTTTCCAAACAACCCAATACATCCTGAACCAACTACTTATGCCCACCTGTCTTGGTCACATCCTGAGCTATTACCTTGTCTACCTTAGACCATTACAATAGTCTCCTGCCTGATAGCTCTGATTCTGTCCTGGCCTTCTACCCCACACAGTATATTCTCAATAAGCAGCCAGATGATGCATTTTATAACCAAAGTCATACCATATCACTCCCAGCAACTTCCCAAGTTCATCTTCCCTGACTTTCCCCTCCATCACTCAATTGCCACCAAGTTGGCCTCAGTCCTATTCCCACTGCATGACCTTACTTCTCACCCTCCCATCTCTTTCAAATCTGCTTCTCCGACATATACCCATGGAGCGTGGCTCACTCCATCACTTTAGGTCTCTGCTCAAAGGTGCCCCTTTGGGGAGGCCTTCCCTAATACCCCTATGCATGTAAGCATGCCCTGTACCTCACTCCTCCTTACCATTGCTTTATCTATCTTCATGGCATTTGTTACTACCTGGTGTCTCTAGACTGTTCCCAGAGGCCAGGGATCTTGTCTACTGTTCAATGCTCTAGCCCTTCAGTTTGAACTCTGTCAGGCATGTAGCATATGCTCGGCAAATGTTTGCTGAATGACTTCTCAGTTTGAGATGATTTCAGATGAAAAGTGGAAAGTATACATAGTTTTAAAGTTTTCTCTATTTAGGTCACCACACTTATAAGATGTAGAGACAGGATTCAAATATTTTCTCCAATCCATTTAACCATGAAAAGAGATCAAATCAGGGGTTAGGGGCTGAAAGGTGGACAGCTAGAAACATTACAAACCACCTAGGGGTTTTTTAAAAACTCATGGATTGGGACAGTCTTCCTCTGCCCAATGCCTCACGTAAGGAAAAGCACCCCAGCGA